TCTATAGTCTATTGCCATGGCCATAACTCTGACTACAGAGTCCATTATGTCTCCAGTAGTACAAAGCTGCCAAAGGCCTGCATCCATACCATCAGATATTATGCATCTTGCTTTTCCACAATCAAACTGTGCATTATGAACTAAATCCTCCATGTCTTCCCAGAGCTTACGCTGATATTGAGCCATATAAGTCATATAGCTAGCAGCTCAGGCTGCAATGGAGGCAGCATGGTAGAATCTACAACCCATGACCTCCATTTCTTTTGAGGTAGAATCTAGAGGAGATGTTGTGCTTCCTCTTTTGCTGTGCTCTAATGCTTCTACAATGGGGCCCTCAGCTGGTGGATTTGGTTGGAAAGGAGAGGTATCCCCGGACACAGGACATACCCTGTGTCCCATGAAGGAAGAAGGGTGACAATCAGCAGGGTCCTTAAAAACTTCAGCGGTAGCAATTCTTTGTTTGTTTGTTTGTTTGTTTTGGTACCAGAGATCGAACTTGGGTCCTTGCGCTTGCGAGGCAGGCAGAGGAACCACTGAGCTAAATCCCCGGCCCAGTGGTAGCAATTCTTAAAAGAGGATGCAATGGAGGAATGAAACGTTTTTTAGAGGTTACACAATCAGGTTTCCCTTCACACAATTCTGTTTCAGATTGTAATGTTACCCTCTTTATAACACCTCTCTGCTCCATTCTCTTCAAAAGACCTATGAAACTAGATTGGGTGGGATCAGTTGGCTGCCCTTTGTCATCAGCTGTTGGGGATTTGCAATCAGCTTCTCCACCTGTCAATAAATTTTCTTCCTTAGATGTGGAGAGGTCCCAAGGAACTGAAGAATTCTCATTTGGCCTAGAATCATGAAACCTAAAACAGCTCTTGGACTGCAGATCACGTATTACTCGGGACATCTCAGGCACTTGTGTCTGGAGATAGAGAATGGCATCCTGTCCGTGCTGTGAAGCAGAAGACTCTATGGGTAAATCCTCCTTGATCTCAGAAGAGTCCAAAGATTCCTGGGGGACAAGAAGTGGAGATGAAGGCAAAGTCTGATAATTTTGTAATAGTTTAAGTGATTCTGTCTCAGAGATCTTATTATCAGAATTATTTTGATCATTTTTCTGGTTTTCCAGTGGGTTCTCAACAGAGGAAAGTTGAGAAACTATCCTTTGTGGACTGCTGGCACAACTCCCAGAGGAGGAGCTGCTGTCTCCAATGGGAAGAGGAACACTGCAGCCAGAGCGATGATTCTCAGAGGATGGCACCTTAGATGCAGGCATTCTATCACTGTAAGAGGTGCTAGGCTCTTCATCATCACTACTAACCAGATCAGTGTATTCAAGAACAGGTCTTAATGGTCCTTCACTGACGAACTGGATGTCGTCTTCATTCTCCTCAGTGGCAGTCGCGGGAGCCTTGGGTCCGGAGGGGGAGAGGAGTCCACGAGCTCTGGCCCGGCGTCGCCCATGTTCCGGATGCCCGAGAGAAACGGTGTCCCCGCTGCGCCCCTTCCTGCCGGCGCCCATAAATTCTTATAATAAATGAGTAAACAGGAGCTTGAACTCATATGGCTAGAGGATATAAAAACGGTGAGTCTAGTGGATATTTCCATTTTCTCCCCATATTTAACCTCCATCTTTCTTATGCCCCACCCAGAAGGCTCACCTTAAATCAATAACATCAACAGGCTCCTGTCGGCCCTGACTTCAGTTGTTTTCAGCGGGTAGTAGGCAGCACAGGAGAGAGGAGTTGGAGTCCGATGAAGTAGGAATTTTATTTCCCCAATTGCTTCCTCTCCATGTCATCATGGATTGACTATGTCCTCCTACCATGAGGCACAGAGCTTGTTAGCTACTCCTATAGCCACCGCTACTGCTATCTCTTTAGGGTCCGGGCCTGCTTTCACTCTGCTTCTTCAGGCCTGTGGGTGAAGCAGTCCCATCCACAAGATGCTTTCCTATCCACTATTGGTTTCTCACACCTTTGCCCACAGCTAGAAAAGGATACCTTTATCAAACTCTCTGCATTTACCCCATTTTAGCCAGCCATCTCCTCCCTGCCAAGATCCTGCCTGATGCTGTAAATCTCACAGGCAATGCTGGAGATTCTGGCTTGGGAGATGGGGAAAATGTGATTAAATCCTGACTAAAACAAGGACTTGGGCTAAAACAAGGCTAACAAGTTAGAGAAGCAATGTCAGTGTTGGGCAAAGAGAGTCACAGTGAAAGCAGGATGTTCAAGTGAAGATGCAGATACTGGGAGTTACAGGTGAAAAGCTAGGACTAATTGTTTAGGAATTAGTAGCATGAATGTGTCAGTTAAAGCCATGAGAGGGAATGAGGTGTTTAGAGTAAAGAAGATAAGAAGAAAATGGAAAAAAAGCCAATTATGAATTCTAATTTACATCTTGGAATTTAAAGCATGTTACATTTCAGAAGATAGGGCACAGTTTTCTAGGGATAAATGTATTGCATTTAGTTCTCATAACAACTCTAAGATGGAAGACATGCTACAGTGTGTCTAAGTTGTGTAACCAATTAAGTAGAACTTGGGTGTCCGCTTCCCACTGTGCTGTACTGCTCCAACTAAGAGGGTGGTTTTAGTCTTGTCTGACCTTTTTCTAACAGTGGGCCTGGAACACTCAGACCACAGGTTGACACTGTCAGGAGCCCCTTACTGTCTTCACTCCTAACAGGAATCTCCATTTACCCTCTGACATCAGGAAGAAACTTCCTGAATTGAGGCCTCTGAAGGCTAGCACCTTAAACCAGTAGTCTTTTGCTCAGTCCTTTAAAATTCCACGTTCTTCCAGTTCCCCAAGTCCCAGGTTTTGGGAGATCTTTATTTATTATTTATTCCTTAGCCCCTGCAAGCTGCCTTCCAGATATGCCATCGCGTTGAAACTAGGTTTGGTAGGGAACCTTATGACCTCTTGGTTGCCAAATCCAACGCTCATTTTCCTTCCTTCCTTGAACACTTGATGGTGTGGCCCACATAGCCCTTCTTAGAGCCCTCTTTTCTCTTGGTTTCAGCAACAGCTTTGCTCCTTCGAGTCTGCTTCTGACCTTTTGGGTCCTTCTTCCTGGGTCCCATTTGTGGGCCCCTCTTCTTTCCCTTGCCCTCCGGTTGCTGTTGTCCATGATTTTGTCCTTGACTCTGCCTGTTTCGCCTGGGAAATCTCATCCACCCCATAACATCAAACCAAATCAGCATTTCTAGCCCAGATCAACATTTCTGGTCTAAATACCTCTGAGCACCAGATGCATTGCTCTAGCTGCCGGCTGGATCTCACACTTAAATGTCATCTAAGGACCCCACACTCAAAGTGCACCCAAACTATACTTTACATCTTGTCCCCTGTCTGCATCTCTGATGTGCATCCTCCACTTTTATTCCTAACCATGGTTTTCCTAGCCAGAAATCTGGAACCCATCCAGCTTCCTCCTTTCTTACTTTCATCCCTTTCAATCTGTCACTACTTTAAACCTAGAGACTTTTCTCCTCTCCATCCTCACAGCTTTGTTCAGGCTCTGCTAACTTGTGCTGGATTATGGCTCTCTGATCAGTCTTCCTACAGTCATGCTCTCAAGATGCTTGCCATCTCTCTGCTTTAAATCCTTCAGTGTTCCCATCCCCCAGACTCAGGATAAAATCTAAGCTCCTTAGTATGCCTTTTATGATGTGGGTCTCATCCACCTTTCTAGTTTTCCCCCTTCCACTTCACCACAGGTACTCTGAGCTCCATCTGGTAAATTATAGGGCTATGCAGAACCTCACACTAGCAGCATTTCTGGCCCCTGTGCCTGCTGCTTCCATTTTCTAGAAGACTTCTTTGCCCTTTATTCTGCCAAGCTTACCAACCCCCTTTCTTCCAGCAATGCCCAAGTCACAAGTCCCTTCCAGGAAGCCTTTCAAACTGTTCCCTCAAAGGCAAGAGCATGCCTCTTGTAGGCTGCCATGAGCATCATCTATGACATTTCTCAAGCTACTTTTTAGTTATTTGCTTAACAACCTGTTGTTCTTAGACTATAAGCCACTTGAAAAGGAAATGCTTGTTCATCTGCAAATCTCTAGTTCCTGGGACAGGATCTGGGACATAGAAAGTGCCTCAGAAATATTTGTGGAATGAATGAATGAATGATTCAATTAATATGATGCGTAAATGAATCACCAACTGTGTCTTTTTTTTTTTTAATTTTTATTTATTATTATTTTTTTTTGGTACCGGGGATCGAACTTGGGACCTTACGCTTGCGAGACAGGCGCCAGAACCACTGAGCTAAATCCCCAGCCCCCAACTGTGTCCTTTAGCATGTGGGTTCACCTGGGTTTTGTCCATACTCTGGGATATTTGCAGCGTAGCCTGCCCTGAACCTTGCTCATGCCTGCATCAAGACTCCTGGCCTGCCTCTTTGTTGACTCAGTGGCCCAAAATACATCTTCTGTCCATTTTTAGTTATCCCAGTCTCAGCCTTTCCCTTCATTGCTCCACTTCTTCTTCTCATGACTGTAGCACTGCTAAGAAGGCTGTCACAGTGACAGCATAACTTAGCAATTTGATTGAATGCAGCAACAAGCAAGGATGTAAAAGTAAGACTTTAACTTGAAAACTATTGCTTTGAGTCTGATTTTAAATGTTTTCCAAGCCTTACCTATTGAGCTACCAGGTAGCACAATTTTTATAACCTGTATCTACAGAATCCCTTCAGATATGGGTCACCCTTTATTACAGTTCTTCTCTAGAACATGGCATAGTCTCAGATTTGTTATGAGGTGACTGATGAGGTAACAGATCCCCTGAGAAAGAAAGTGCCAGATACATATAGAAATAATTCTAAGCTGTTGTAGTCCCAGAAAGTAACATAGTTTAACCATTAGCCAAACATTTCCTACCAGTACATTTCCATGCCCACCACTGCAGAGAAAACAGGATGGTATGACATTATTTATATTTACCCATGTCAAATTCCCTAATAAAGATTTTAAAAACTAGATAAAATTGATTACCAGCTTTCTGTCTTGCAAATGGCAGAGAGAGTCCTGTTGTATTCTTTTGGAAAATTCTTGTACCTGCAGTGAAAAGATGCAATATTTCATTAATGGTATAGTCTCAGGTGTTTAAATTTACTGGTAGTTACTTCTAATGTTTAGAATAAGCTTTCAATGTGTTACCTTGGTCTTCAGTTGATCAGTCTGTTCTTTTAATTTCTGACACATCTGTTTCCCTTGGCATATTTTTTGAAATATGGACGAAGAACTTGAGGGAAGATCTTTCGGAGAAGCTGATGTCAACTTCAAGAGACTTGTCTCTGATTCCAATCCTATATGAGAAAGAGTAAGCTCTGCCTACCATTCATTTCAACTTGCCACAGTTTTCTTAGGTAGTGAAGACAGAAGACTGTGGCAGTCACCACCTTTTGCTGTTTTTTTAAAAAGTTTTCAAACTATCTAAATCAAAGAAGTTTTAAAGCATCAGTACCTGTGAGAAGTTCTTGATGGATGTGTACTGTAGACTCCATCTGCACAATTAGATGAGAAAACATTACTGCTGAGATTGCTCAATGGCACCATTATTTAGAATGGCTTTATGTGTTCTGGTCATCACAGAGGCACCCCAGTCTGTGGTCAAGAGCTGGGACCGTGATGCTGAGGCTGAATTCCATTCTGACACTTATTTGCCAGGTGACCCAGGCAATTACCTCATTACTGCCAGCCTCAAATTTCTCGGCAATAAAATGGGGGTAGTACAGAATATGGCTCATGGGATTGCTATGAGGAATAAATGTGAAATATTTGCCATAATGTCAGGCATGTGGTAAGTATTCAGCAATATGTAGCTGTCATTAGGATCATGTTTGATACTAGTATGTGGATTATGCAAATATTTCTCCTGAAACTAGACAGAATCCCCATGAGGGCTTTGTTGATTTCATCACTAGCTCGGTTACTAGTGCATTCACTAACACCATTATTCTAGAAATAATATAATATGCATTAAATTCCAAAATGTGAGTCAAGATAATGATTGCTTTCACTCACCACAGGCTAACTGGACAGGGGTATCAATCCCACAGTGATTCACCTGGCACTTCTTCCCATTGTTCCCAACACATAAATCTCAAAAACATATGAATGTCCAAGAGTTAAATGGCAGTGGTCAAAATAGACTTGTCATTATGAATATCTCCAGTATAGAATGGTATAAAACTATAGAATCCAATTCTCCAACTTGAATTGACAAGGACTAGAAAATATCAGATGCCTGATTTCAGACTCCAATTGCCAGAGGGGGATGGGCTTGATATCCATTCTGCTCCTACTGACCACCAGGTACTGAGATAGATGAACATGTTCTCCTGTGAGCAGAACAAGGAACCTGAGACTTCCCAATACCATAGGAATGTAGATATCTGCAAGACTTAGAGAAGCAGCCTAGTCATGGCCAAGCGGCCAGCTGGTCCTATGGGTGTATGTGGGGAGGGGTTCCAGCTGAAATTCCCCAGAGTGATCAGTTGAAGGAGAAGGAGGTTGAATAATGAGGGATGGAAATAGAAACAGGCAGACATTGTTATTCTGTCCAGGATGCGCCCCCTCCTATGAGGCTTAAAAGAAAGACAATACAATCCTGGCAAAGCGCCAAAGAGCTGGAATGTTACATTGATGGTTAAGGTGACTTAACCTTACTATTAAATGTCAAATAATCAATGAGAGCCTGAGTCTCAATACGTGGGGAAGCGGGTGGAAATAGCATAAAAGAAGCATTAAAAAAATCTTATACTAAATGGTTACTAATATAACAAGTTTGAAATATATTATTAAAGAGCTTAGTTCAGCTCAATTTAGTAACTGAAGGAATAGTGTATATAAGACACTAAGGGCAAGCTTCTAGGGGGTGTTAGGCAAGGGAAAGATGAAGACAAGTTTGCTGCCCTCCAGAGGCTTCGAATCCAGTAGGAGAAACAGGTACCTCCAGATTATTATTATTATTATATTTTTGGTACCAGGGATCAAACTCAGGACCCTGTGCCTGCAAAGCAGGCACTGGGACCACTGAGCTAAATCCCCGGCCCTACCTCCAGATGATTAATGACCCAAAGCAGACTGAGATAAATGCCCTGACAGAAGTCCCAAACAAGCAAGGGTGGAAAAGACTGACTTAGTGGATATGAAAAGTCACGTGGTCTGAGAACTGAACGATGTCGTGAGAATGAGTGGGTCTTTGATGAGTTGAGATGGGATTTTCATACAAGGTAAGAAGAGGTGAGAGGGTTCAGAGCCTGAGAAGAGGTTCCAGGTCAGCCAGATAACTGTGGATGACTCCTTGGAGAGGAGCTGAGTTTAGAAGGCTAGATAAAGTTTAAAAGAATAAATGGGGAGGCCCACATTCCAGCTTGAGGAATTTGGATTTACCCTCTTAGGCATTTTTGTGAGTGCAACTCCTGATTTTTCTCAGGAGAACATCACTGAGCTTCTGAGAGGCTAAGTCACCACCCCTGATAACATAGAGCAGTGGTGGTGAACCTATAGCATGCATGCTACAGTGGGCTGTTTGGTATCAATGAAAGCTCTACTAGGTTCGCCATCACTGATCTAGAAGGTCCGATGGAACCTCAGAGCTAGAACTGCACTCTACACACCTTCCAAAAAGTCATCTTGAGAGAGATGAGCAGTGGCCCATATATATTTATCTACGGGAGACTATTTTCATTTACCTGTATTTGTTGTGAAGGATCTGTAATTTTCCTTTTCTTCTCTGGTTGTTGTTTTTCAACACAATTTGACCTAGACAGGTTTTCTAAAATGTCTTGCACAATTGTTGATTTATTTCTCAATTTAGGAGAGGAGCTGGCTTGTTTAGCCATTGTAAGTGATTTACTCATTAGGTTATTTTTAGGGATTTTCACTTTGGGAGCAACCTTAGAGAAATCTGGGAGCTGGTAATGAACTTGACCTTGGCCATATTTGAACACATTGCTTGAGCTTGCTTTTTTAGTCAGCTGTTTCTGGGGTTCCTGCCCTTGGCAACTTTTTTGTTTATCACTCAGACCTGTGATTTTTGTTAGAAAATTTGAATTTTCTTGATGGCTGCTATTTCCAACAGCCACTTGCTCTTCTACATCAGAAGAACTTGGAGAACAACTGGGCTTACTGCTGTTTCCACCATCCCTGTTAGGGTTGAGTTGGTCATTGAATTCTGGGTACCAAAAGTTCTTTACATAACATGAAGAAATATTTGTAATAATAGCTGCTTCATCAGTACTATCAGCATGAGAGATCTCTGGGAGAGTTTCACAATCAATGCCTTGACCTCCTAGAAATGGATCTTTAGAAAGATGATGGAGCAAAATATCAGAAATCTTTGACTTCGAAGTATATCCTTCATTAGCTGGAATATAAAGATTCATGGAACATAGTTTCTCTGGATCACCTTTTTTGTCAACAAGAAAATCATTTTCAGTAATTTTATCCCAAGTCATGGCCACCGCTGTATTTAGGCAAATCTCATTATGCTCTGCCTTTTCATGAGGATCATCTTCTGTTAGAATAACTTGATCTGAGACACCAGGAATATTATTTTTTGAGGTAAAATTGCCATCATCACACATCTTCATTGGGGAGACAGTGTCATCATAAGGCAGATCCTCCTGTTGCTTATAAGTTGTATCTTCTGAAAAATCAGTTTCATCCATAATTATCGAGCCCAGTACCTCTTGTCCTCTGCTGCCTAGTCTTAGTGTCCTTAATTGTCACAATAGATCTTCTGGTTTTCACTGATAGTCTTCATGTTATGTCCTAAGCTATAGGAAACAAGAACAGCCTCATTGTTAAATATATTAGAACAATGTCTGAAGCTGTGCTTATTGTGGTGTTTTATGCCAGAACAAAATGGATATTTTTGTTTAGAAAATTCATCTACAAACATGCAGATAGAAAGCTCAACCAAGAGCTCACTTATCTTAAATACTATGGAATAATTTTTAAAAGAGGGACATACTATAGTTTTTATTCATTAAACTTGGAGGAATACATTGTTCTACAGTTAATGACCAAATCTTTGCCGTTCTGTCTTAGGAATACTATTTGGGATTTGAGAGCTTGGAATGGTGGCATAGGATTGTTTGAAATACTGTTACCATCACACTTCCACACTCACGAGTGGGCCTCTACATCCTGTGCCACTGAAAGCTGGCTCAGCTCAAGCAGAATCTTTACCTTCACTGTTCTGATACTTTAAAAAGAGTTTTATTTGATAGCTTCTTGCCCTTTTGGCTGAGATCAAATGTAAAGAGTTTTATTTTTAACTGACATACAGTAATTGTACATATTGGGGTACAGTGTGATGTTTTGATATATGGGTATAAAGTAATCAAATAGACTAATTAGCATATTTATCACCTCAGACATTTACCTTTTTTGTGGTGAAACATTCAAAATCCTCTCTTCCATCTCTTTCTAAACATACAGTACACCACTGGTAACCACAGTCAGCCTACTCTACAACATCAGAGCATGTTCCTCCTATCCTAACTTGGTACCCATGACCAAACTCTCCCTACCCCCTTCCAACTTCAGCCTCTGCTAACTACTATTCTGCTCTCTACTTGTACGGAATCAACTTTTTCAGATTCCACGGATGAGTGAGATCATGCAGCACTTGAGTTTCCCTGCCTGGTTTATTTCACTTCACCCGATGTCCTCCAACTGCTGCTCCACATTCTGCTACTGTTTTCATTTGTCCTGGACACTCTGGTCCTCTTTCCCTGGTTTTCCCTAGTGTGTCTGAGAAGGGCAGAGAAGGACTGGCAGAAATATGACCAAGGGAGGACAAATAGGACTTCAAACCTGGAGGCCATTCAGCAGCCACACAGCCCAGTTTTAATTAGGGCTCAGGCAGAAAAGGCTGAGAGCCTGGAGAGGCTGGAGAGGCTGCCCTTCTCCTGAGCAGCCCTGGCCAGCGGCCACAGCCTGGACACAGTGTGAGGGCAGCAGTTCTGAGGAGGCTGCTGAAAATGGTCATCAGAGCAAAGCCAGCTGTCATTCAGTATGAGGCTTTTTTTTATTTTTTAAGGAAAAATTAAAACATCCTTTTGGGTATCTCTTTTTGATTTGTGAGCTTTTGAGACCTCTACTTAGAGGTAGTAAAATTATCATAAGCTTTAGGTGGAGGGACTGAGGCTGTTTGTGGCCCGGAGCACCAGCCATGCTCTGAGGTTTACTAGCTTGGGTGGATGCAACCGCAGGCTGCCCTCCCTGGCCCAGCCAATGATAGGGCTGGGAGAATGGGTTTGCAAGTCCTTCCTCATCCACATTTGTATGATCTATGTACTTGTGAATTATTAGTTAACCTCAAAAGCTAAAATAGTATGTTTGATGAAAAAACTGAGCAAAGAAAAAAGGAGTAAAAACTAAATGTGGTAAAGGCATCTGTGAAACATTATACAAAAGTCATAGTTTTCTAGATAACATGCCAGTGTTAGAGAACTCAAATTTTTAAAAGTGATTTTAGGAGATGGGAAGGGAGGATATAACCACAGGATACTTTAAATCATTTCTAGAGACTGCTGTTTACTATAAAATGAGGGAGTCTTGTTCTTCATGAACAGAATTACACGTTGCTCCAACGCAAGCTGAAACAGGGCTAGAGAAAGTGCTTCCCAGGAAAGTCAAAGGCACAGTAGGAAAGTTGGAATCAAGAGACCTGGGTTTGGGCAAGGGGTTTAGCTCAGTGGTTCTGTCACCTGCCTTGCAAGCACAAGGACCCATGTTCGATGCCGGTACCACAAAAAAAAAAAAAAAAAGAGAGAGAGACCTGGGTCTCTGCTTATTAGCTGTATGTCATCTGGCAAGTTTTTAACTTTTCTGAGTATCATGTTATTCTTCTAAAAAGATAAGAACAATTATACCTGGCCCATAAGATTGCTGGGTGATGAAATGAGGTGATGCAGATAAAGCACTTGGCATGGTGTTTGACACAGAGTGAGGATTTAGTCAATGATATTTAAAAATAAATTTTTAAAAACCAAAACTAATCTTGGTGTTGGAATACTAAAGACTGCCTGGGAATAGAAGACTAGGCGCTCCTTACCTGAGGTGATATTTAAAGGATAAAGGAAGGAATTTGTATTTGTAAGATAATCTCTAAAACAGCCTTAAAATTCTTTAAAATCTATCTGTAAAATGAGTACATTATTTAAAAGTGAAAATCACTAAATAACTTAAAATAAAGCAGTGTCTAATTTTTGAGGCTAAAAAAAATATTTTTAAATGTCTACAGAGAAGAGAGAAAAAGAAGACAAACTAATTTTTCAGGACCTTTAAGGACCCAAGTTACAAAAAGTCATACTTGTGTATTCTGTGTGTTCGGGGGGCTCATCGCTGGACTCCATGCCCTTCATGTTAAGGAAGAAAAGTCTCTGTGGTGGCCAGATCTCAGTTCCAAAATAGCATCCTAAACTGATAACATTTTTTATTTTTGCTAAGGATCTTTAGAAAGAGACCCCACCAATATAAGCCAGAAGCCCAAGGAACTCTCTCACTACATACAGAAATACAGCTTCTGTTATTATTACTATTGTTATCATCATTAGTATATGTGACCACGTGTGTATACATTTAAAATAGCAAGAGAATTCTTTCTAGAAAAATACAATTCACATCTTTAGTATTGTAATGGGGCCCTTACAGGTAACTGGAAGGAATTGTTATGTCTTATGTCAACACTCAGCTCAACCTTGGAATCCAAAGGCATCTTCAAAGAGATTCCCATCAGATCCCGATAGAACCTTTCTGTAGCGCCAATCGGATGTACAATCAGACATACTGAAGTCCAGGAATACATTTGGGGCCCTAGCTTTTTATGCAGCTGTATTGACCATTGTGAGCTCAGCAATAGCTCATAGTCACCCTATTGAGCAGACGAGGCCTAGGCATCCCAGCAACCCCACCTGTGAAAACACTTCAGCCTGGGCCCTAAGCAGAGATGAACAGCAAGCTGCTCACCATGCTGACAGCACTTCCCTGTGTGTTTTACTTCATCATGAAATCCAAATTTGGTGCTGAAGTGCCCATCTAAGCTCACTCACTTGCCTCTTTAAGACAAGAAGATATCCATGGCTGGAATGACTTGGGAATTTGATAAAATCAATTAAGAATGTCTATAGATGGAAAAAACAAAACTCCATAGTGATTAGAGGCAAAGGATGGTCAGCAAATCATTGTTTCTGGCTGGTAGGTGATATTTCTTCTATTCCTTAAGCCTATTTAGTGAAGCTTTACATATTGGAAGACTGTTTTCATCACCAAAAGAAAACTCGGGGGCCGTGTACCTGTGACTATCCTCTGACCACATCCCTGGCACCATCTGTTGTGTGTTTAGACCTCTGCTAGCCAGGCAAACCATTGAAGATGTCTGTGACCCAGCTGTGGAGGAGAAAGCAGCCATTTTTGCCACTCACCCTTCCCTGCCTTCCTCCACCAAAGTTCCAGTCAGCACCACCACCTGATCCCTGTGGTCCCAAATGCCACACTTCTGAGATTAACCTTACTGACTACAGCTAGAACAAGAGTTGTCTATTGGAGGCAATAATTCAACAATCCAAATTCTTCATGCTCCTCTCTATATTTGTCATTTAGGAAGTGACTGGTTTACAGTTAGGAGCTTTAAGGACACGATTCTTTGTTATTTAGTTCTGCACAAAGTAATATGCTAAGTCTTCCACCAACACAAAATGACAACCAACATGAAGAGATAAACCAATGGCACCAACAATAGAAACTCACCTACATCATGGAGTGAACAAGGTGAGAGGCCTTCAGTGCAGATGAGCAATCCTTTAATTTAAATCATCTTTTTTCAGTAGCTGGAAGCTGACTGCAATTGAATAATAGAACTAACACAGAGTTTCAGAATCATGGTGTGCCACTGCTGCTGGATCCCTTTAAGCAAAAAATCATGGTGAAGAACACCAGGGAACTTCCAATGTAATCTAAACTTTTATCCCTTTTTTTGGTCTTTTAAGAGCATTCAAAAATACTCAGCTTGACTCTTTTAATTTTTACATTCTATCTATTCCTAGCTCCAGATGTCTATTTATCCACAAAAGGATATAGGATCTGGCTCAGAATAATAAGTCCGAAGCCACACCCAGGGGTCAGATATTCATGGATTTTTTATTCAGTGTATGGTGCTTCTATATTCAAATATTCTCAAAGGTAATGTAATGAAGGCCCCCTCTCCACAGGCTGCATTTGATATCACCCTGGTAATCCTATCAGCTAACTTTATCTCAGAAATGTTGGCTGCCTACAAATGCAGTGTCAGTAACTGTAACCATACACCATTCGGTGGGACAGCCTGGCTTCATCTTCTCATTGTAGAGTGACAGAAGGGACACTCTGTGGTGGAGCAACACATTGATCCAATACTCCCTTGAGAGCTATGTGGATGTATTATTTATAGTCAGGCTAAGAGACATGGGCCTTCCGTTAGTGGGCATGGATTTGATGACCAGCTGTCACAGATTATCCTGAAACTATTTTAAAAATCAAGGGGAAAAAAATCTTTGCAACTGAGCAAACCAGTTTTTGGAGAAGCAGCCTCTCAGTGTTTTACTAGCAGCCTTTACTTGTTTTGCTTGCTCTTTGGTCAGCACTGTCTTTTTATCCAATTTTCCTTCGATAGAGTCCTGTTATCATCATAGATAGTCTAATTTGTGCTGTAAACTACAGACTTTGCTGTGTTTTGGGAACATTTCAAAAACTTGCCAATTGATTTTTGAAAAACAATTCTCATGATAAATTTTAAAACACTGATTTAAAGGAGTATAATTTTTTAAAAAATCTCACTGCTGAAACTTCCTTGACTTTCCCTAAACTTTTCAGGTTAAGTATGGCAAACTCTGCCTAGAGATTCTAAAAAGAGCCAGAATATTTTAGGAAAATCCTCCTTTGTCTAAGATGTATCCTCTCCCCTACCCTGCCTAAAAGAAGAAAATTAATTTGAAATTACAATTTTTAAAAAATGAACAAAATGTCAACAATAGGGTACATTGGTACCTGATATAGGATCTTTAAAATGAGTTCTAAAAGTTACGATTTTGATTATGTTAAAAATCTCTTCTTGTGTTAGAAAAAGGTTAGATGAGTTCCTAAAACCATTTTGTGACAGGATTTTGGATCAATTTTACTTTCTTATTAGAGCTGTTTCTTCATTTGTTAAATAGTTTTCAAGGATACCTATTAGGTGTCAAGCACTATGCTAGGTAGGTCCTGTAACCAAAGGACAATATCAAAAAATACTTATGAATGTAGACTTTTGTGCCAGACTGAATTTATGGCAAGGCTCTTCTACTCAGGCAGCTGTGCAGTCTTGAGCAAGTTGTTTATCTTCTCTGGTTCTCAGTTTGCTCATCTATAAATAGGAATATTAATAGTATTATCACATAGGATTGCTGTGAGGATTATATGGGTTGATTTTTTATATCAACACTTACACAGCAATTAGGTGCCTGACGTTGCATTCTAATCTTACAAATAATTCATCGATTGCATGCCAAAGAATTTAAATATCGCCGGGGATTTAGCTCAGTGGTGCCACTGCCTGCCTTGCAAGTGCAAGGTCCTGAGTTCGATCCCCGGCACACACACAAAAAAGGAATTTAAATATTTATTTTATTGTAAATGATGACAAGTGCCATGCAGGCTAGGAGGAGACTGCTTAGAGAAAGAATATAAGAAAGGAAGCTGAAAGTAACGTCACCCACCTGTAATCCCAGCCACTCAGGATGCTGAAGCAGGAGAATTGCAAGTTTATGGGCAGCTTGAGCAATTTAACAAGACCTTGTCAATTAATTAATTAACAAATGGGCTGGGAATGTAGCTCAGTGCAAAGATCCTTCACACACACACACACACACACACACACACACACACACACAGGAAGAGAAAACTTTCTTGTGATAGGTTAGACAGGAAAAGGTACTCTCAGGATGAGTATTTCAAGCCAGAGCCTGAAGGACACAAAGCCAGCTATCAAAAAAGTTAGGATAGAACATTCTGGGCTGAGACTACCTTTGTGCAAAGACCTGAGGCTGGGAAAGAACTTTGTGTACAGGGGAACTGAAGGCGAATAGCGTGACAGTGGCAGTGCAGATTAAAGAAATCAATGTGTTTAATACATGTGATATATTTTGAAGGAAATGTCAAGAACACCTGGCAGTGTGCTTGTGAATGTGTGTGAGGGTAAGAAGAAATTAATCGTGACATTTTAGTCATGCCTCCTTGTACTTTCCAAGTATTTTAGAATACCAATTATTCAAATGAATAAAATGACTCCAAAGAGCAGAGGATGTGAATTGAAAGAAAATATACATGTCATTTAAAAATATGAAAGATAATTATCTAAACAAATGAAAAAATAATCACTTTCATTAAATATGTTTTATTTTATTATTTATTTATGTATTTATTTTTCAGTACCAGGGATCAAACTCAAGACCTTGCACTTGCAAGGCAGGTGCAGCGCCACTGAGCTACATCCCCGGCCCTGGAATATGTTTTATATTTTAAACTTACTTATGGTCAGCTAGTGTTTATTGAACTTATGAACCACACACTACAATGGGTTATACCACACATAGGCATTTGTTGGTTTGGGGGCTTTGGGTCTAGGGAAAATCCAGAGAGTACAGAGCAGAAAAGATTTACTCAAACCATGTGCATATGAAGATAAGGCTTCAGTTAGGGCCCCAAGACACTGTTTTTCCAGACAATTCAGCCTTCTCAAAAGAAAATATATACTCTTGTATGTTTTGTATGTTGTTAGTAAATAAAAAGATGCTCTGAAATATTGAACAGGGTGCAGTAAGTACAAGGTTTCATCCTTTCCTATAGCCGGGGTCTACATATGTGGGTGTGAACACACATGTGGGGACCTATTTTCAGGGGAGCCCGGAAGTGGGGTCTTCTGGTCTTTGTACACAGTCATGTCCTTTCCACTTGGGAGAAGGAACCCTCCCTCCTGTAAAGGCTCTTGGAGGGAAAGTGATCTTCCAGAATCTCTTGGCAGTAATTAATATGCACCTCAGAGCTTAAATAAAATTGATTCTTCTCGCCTCGTCACAATCCTTTTTAAAAAATACTCACTGTTCTCTTCTGTATAGTCTTCTTTTCTATAAAGAAGAAAATGACATGACAGGCAAAGTTTGATAACTCTGAGCTGCGAGAAGCAGAGACCACCCAGAGCAACACTCTGACTGATGAGTGCTCATTCTAAGAAGCCAAAGAGGCAATGAATGGCTCAGCCAGGAAGATTGCTGTTCATGGCAGTGTAGGGTCCTGCCCATTTCTCACGCCCTGGGAACAGCAGGATGAGAATTTGGATCCTGGTATTGCCACTTTCTAGTTTCACAATTTTGAGCAAATTACCTAACTTATTTTCTTACTTTGTAAAAGGTGATGACAACACTGCTTCAAAGGGCTGTGTGTCAGTTAATCTTCATTGCCAACTTGACTGGCTTGAGACTCCTAGAGAGGTGACTGGATCGTGGGGGGTGCTGTGCTCATTAGTGAATTAATCCACTGATATTCACAGTTGAATGTGCTGTCGGGAGATGGAGCCTAGTTAGAGGAGGTGGGTCACCAAGGGTGTATCTCGAAGTGGGTTTCTCTCACTGGCTCTCTTCTGTGCTCTGCTCCAGCTACCATGAAGTGAGCAGCTTTGCTCTGCCATGATGTTTCTGCTTTGGAGCCAGCCAACCATAGACTGAATCCTCAAACTGTGAGCCAAAATAAACTCGCCTCATTTCAGTTGTGAGTATCAGGTATTTTGTCCCAGCAATGAGAAAGCTGACCAATACAGTTGCTATAAAAATAAAAGAATACATTTACTTATTGATAGACATTGTTACAGAACCAAAGTCCTAGGCTCTATAAATCCCCTTCACCCCAACACAAACAATCCTGATGTACCAGTTACATAGTTGGAAATTTATATAAGTAGTAATGCTTTCTAAATAAATGTAATGTGTTAGAATTGGATTGTGCTTATTTCAGTTTTAATGTATGCAGATGGTTCAGAAAGTGCCTGGCATACAAAATCTGATAAATAGTAGCTTTAAAAAAAATATTAACTGGGCCAAGGGTATAGCTCAGTGATAAGGTGCTCACCTAGCATGCCAGAAGCCCTGAGTTCAATCCCCAGTGTCACAAAAAGAAAAAAATTTAATTATATATAAACTGTCTCAGTATTTCAAAATTTTAGCTTTTTTAGTCAGTTTTTATCATTTTATATGAGATGTGTTGAAATGTAAACTTGTTAGAAATTATTTCATGATAGAGCAATATTAATTATCAATACTTCTAACCCCATTCTTTTTTGGTACCAGGGATTGAACTCGGGTCCTTGAGCTTGGGGGGCAGGGGGCAGCAGAGCTAAATCCCTGGCCGTAACCCCTTTCTTATTAAAGGCACAGACCATATGTGGGGGTAAGAGGCAGGGGATTACTGGGGATTGAACCCAGGACCTCTTCACTGAGCTATGTCCCCAGGCCTTTTGTTTAGCCCCTTAGTAGGGGCTTGCTAAGCCACTGCTAAGTTGCCCAGGCTAGGCTTGAACTCAGAACCCTCAGCCTCCCAGAGTGCTAGGATTACAGGCATGTGCCACCATGTCCAGCTAAAAGCAAAAACTCGTTAAAAAGTAATAAATTTGGGGCCGGGGATTTAGCTCAGTGGTGCCGCTGCCTGTGCAACAAGACCAAGGTCCTAAGTTCAATTCCCAGTACCAAAAAAATAAAAATAAAAAG